ATTAAGGTATATTATTTTCATATCTATTAATTACCTAATTTTTTTAACATTTCGAGTGAACTACTTAGCTAAGAAGTAGTAGCTACAACTCAAGGGTGTACGGTGCCCAATGCTCACAGGTCACAGCTACTAGTTTTCTTTGTCTGCCCTTGCAATTTGAATCTGGTTGAGAAAGGCATCCAATTTTCAATTTTCAAATCTCCTTCCCTCCTCTCTCTTACCCTTGCTGCTGCCGTTCCCTCCTCTGAAAACCCTAACACCTCTCTTCCTCTTCATTATCCAGCAATCACGGGATGACAACTCCTCATCCGCCTCCGGTGCCCGGCCGCGAGCTCTCCAATCCACCCACCGACGGGATCTCAAACCTCCGGTTCTCCAACCACAGTGATCACCTGCTCGTGTCCTCATGGGACAAGGTGCGGCCTAGATGTCAATCTCATTTATTCACTCACTCTCATCTTCTTGGTTCGGTTCAGAGGTTTTGTTATTGAGGTAATGAATTGTGATGCTTTTGTGTCGTAGACTGTGCGATTGTATGATGCGAGCGCAAACTTGTTGCGTGGAGAATTCATGCACGGTGGCCCTGTGCTTGATTGCTGTTTCCACGACGACTCGTCTGGATTCAGTGCTAGCGCCGATAATACTGTCAGGCGGTTAGTAAATTGGATTTCGCTAATTCTTGCCCTAATTTTCTGTTTGGTTCCTGAGAATGCTGAGGGAAATCTGCCGTACTTTTTCTTCTTTAATTCATTTGGTTATTTGTTTAGTTGTTAGAAGCATGAGGGCTTTTCAGCTGTAAGCTAGGCCAAGGAAAGCATTTTTAGATTTTTAGCTCTCATTTTTGTTGATAGTCCATGTTAATCTATAATGTTGCTATTCATATTTGCAGGCTAGTTTTTAGCTATGGGAAGGAGGATATTTTGGGAAGACATGATGCACCAGTGCGTTGTGTAGAATACTCGTATGCAGCAGGTTTTTTAAAACATTACCCTAATGCTACCTTTCAAGTTGTTGCACTCTTCGATGCCTGTACATAATGATTTTGAGAATTTTTATTTGTAATCATTGAGTTCATTTAAACGTTTATAAGAGCAATATTGATTGCACTCGGCCTATTTGAATTGAAATTCAGGCTAGGATCAAAGTGTGCATATTGTATTTTTATCTCTGTTTTCTACTTCAAATTTGTAGGAGCATTTTATGCTGCAATTTTGAATTTTGGAACATTTTGGATCCAATAAAATGGACAAAAGAGCAAATATTGGTTTAGAAATATGCAAGAGCAGGTTTCTTTGACTAGCAGTCTACATGAAAGATACCGGCATTCCATATTAGAAAGAGAAATTCAACTTCCGTATGACATCCATGTCAAACCTCATTTAAGTTGCCTTCCCCTTTCCTTGGGTAATGGGGTATGTTGTTTGCAGTTTGGTAATGCTGTTCATGCTTTCCTGCTCTCTGACAGCCATTATAGATGATAAATTACCCTTGACTTGGGTAATGGGATAGCTTACTCCATGCTGTTCACTTTTATTTTGTAAGACATTCATCAGCTATAATATTTCTGTCAGGCCAAGTGATCACAGGGAGTTGGGACAAAACACTGAAATGCTGGGATCCTAGAGGTGCAAGTGGGCAGGAGAGAACACTTGTTGGCACATACCCACAACCTGAGCGTGTTTACTCCTTATCTCTTGTTGGAAATCGTCTGGTTGTGGCAACTGCTGGAAGACATGTAAATGTATATGATCTGAGAAATATGTCTCAGCCTGAGCAACGGAGAGAATCTTCATTGAAATATCAAACTAGATGTGTTAGATGTTATCCAAATGGAACAGGTATGTATAAAACTTCCTAGTTCACTAAGCAATAACGTTTTTGATAGTTTTTGTCATACCAATACTTTATAGTTGACACTTTCAATATTGGTATAATCATTTGACCATCTATGCTCTTATTTCCATACTTTCTGTCAGATGCTGCTGGTTAATTTTCATTGTTTTATGGTTGATTTAGCTGCTGCACAAATTGGCAATTTCTGTACATCAAGCTTTGCTCAGAATTCCGCAATATCTAACAAATAAGAATAACCTCTAGGAATTATATTTTCTTTTGTCTTTTTGTTCAGGACATATGATTTCTCTTTGGAAGGGCACTATCACGCTATCACCCCCTGCCATTTTCTTCTTCTTCTTCTTCTTCTTCTTCTTTTTCTCTGATAGAATTTTTATTTTTTGTTATATATGTGATTCACTTGTCACTTCTCTTTATTTTCTTGGGCATAATTGTTTCTCATTTGATGGATTGTGCAGGATATGCTCTTAGTTCAGTAGAGGGACGTGTTGCAATGGAGTTCTTTGATCTCTCAGAGGCTAGTCAAGCCAAAAAGTATGCATCCTTTTTCTGTACGATTGAGAAGTATAAATTAGCTTTTATGTGCTGCTTTGGAAAGATTTCCTTTGGGGTGTTTTTTTTTTTTTTTTTTGAGAAAGGTAGAATGGTTAGTTACCTTAGAGATGGATTCACCCCTAACCTAGCATTTTAAGTTAGTAACTAGGCTAAGCTGTGGTTGGTTGTTTTGCCCATATAACCTAGCTAAAATAAAGGAAGTGGCACACATGTCAATTCTGCCTGGTGCTTGATGGATAAGAGCTCATCTTTCTTTCATATCCCAGATTACCACCATGGAATATTTGTTTCTGTGTACCATGTACTTTCCTACCCTATGCCCATTTTAGAATTTAGACTCCTCATCTATTACTAGAGGTATCTGAAGCTTTGATTGTTAATAGACCATAGAAGCTGGAGAATGTTAGCCCATTCTTGATTCTCTAAGCTTTTTTTGAAACTATAGTACCATGACGTCTTTAATATGCACCACAAATACAATCTGTAACTTTGAGCTGGTTTGAGGGTACTTTCAGATGTAAATATGCCAAAATGATGATATCTACCACTAGACAATGCCATTTTTTGCAATCAATTTACTTATTATTGACACTGTTTTCTAACATTTCACAGGTATGCTTTTAAGTGTCATCGTAAATCAGAGGCTGGAAGAGACATTGTATATCCAGTGAATGCCATTGCATTCCATCCTGTGTAAGTTTATTAACACCTCTCTGAACTTTTCATTGATGAAAAATTTATTGAAGCCAACTTTTAAATTTTTGTTTCAGTAGCCTCCTGATTAAATTAATGCCAGCCCTGTGAAACTAATGCAGCTGTCTGGATATGATGGCATCAAACTAGGTGAAGAAATTGAACTGGATAACTCATTGAACTGTGTCAGTTGATAGTAATATAACATACAAAACACCATATGGTAATCATCACCTTAAAAAACCTTCAAACATGGACATTGAGTTGACCAACTTGCAGTGAGATATCAGACTGGATATGTCAACAGAGATTGGTCAGTCTTGCCTATTAATATTTGATTCCAAAATTGCAATGGTAATAATATAGGTCACAAAATTTTTTTTTGTAATAGCATCTCATTAAACAAGTAGATTATTATTTTTAAATTTCAAAAGGAAATATATTTGAAAATGTTTTTGGAGCATGGTCTTAAAGGTCTGCAGATTGTAACTAGTTATAACTAATAGCTTCTTCCAAGTCATATGGTTGCTCATCCATGTGTCATTGTTGATCATGCAGCTATGGTACTTTTGCAACCGGTGGTTGTGATGGTTTTGTGAATGTGTGGGATGGTAACAACAAGAAGAGGCTGTACCAGGTAAGTGGTGGAAGTGATACTTAAAATTTTACCTTCGGAAGTTAACATTTTTCCTTGATTCTTTAACAATATTCTTGTTGCAGTACTCAAAGTACCCAACAAGCATTGCTGCACTATCATTTAGCAGAGATGGACGGCTGTTGGCTGTGGCATCAAGTTATACATTTGAAGAGGGAGATAAGCCGTGAGAATCTCTCTTCATCTCTCTTGAAACATGTCTATTGCTTTGTTGTATTGTATTGGCTGAAGCTTTAATGCATGGTCTGTTTTTTTGGCAGGCACGAACCAGATGCAATCTTTGTCCGTAGTGTAAATGAAATCGAAGTTAAGCCAAAGCCAAAAGTGTATCCTAATCCTCCTGCATAACTGCTCTCCCACTCTTTATTCCATTTACTTGATTTTACGTATGTAATATGTCTGTAAGGTCTTATGTAATGTTGGCAAAACTTGATCTAGGACAGACTTCTTGTCTTTAAACTGTAGGTTAGAAGGTTAGAATCTTCACATGTATTTTGCTTCGTATCTCATGAACTCTAGAATTGCAGCATTTTATTTGTTACTACCTTTTCTCATCTGGAAAAAGGAAAAATGTTATAAACATACAGTGCAATGTTTGCAGGGTTCTGTAATTCTCTTAAGCATTGCATTGGAAACGATTTTATCGCCTGTACTAGAATCCTAGTTCACTTAAAAAAACAGCATTTGCAGACTCTGTCAAGCAATAAAAACAAGGAACATGAAAAAAGAAATAAAAACTTAAAACATCTTTCCAGTAGAAATGTAATTTGGACAAATGTACACAGTATTAACTGTCACTCACACACTTGAGCTATGGTTGAGAATGCAAGCCAGAGTCTTTTTATTAATTATTTCAGTGTAAGCAATTTTAATAAGTCACATTTCTCATTTTTGAGGGTGAAGTATTTTTTGGTGTTTGTTGACAAAGTGATTTAAAAGTACTTACGGGTTTACTAGGTTAAAGTCCTGGATACTCATATTATAAACAAACAAAAAAAAAAAAAAAATCTAGATGCAAAAAAAATGTGATAATGATATGTGTATAATATTTTTATATAATTTTTATATGTTAATAAATAAATATATATATATACACAATATTATAAACTTTAATAGATTAAAAAGAGTTTATTATGTCAACGACTTAAATAGTTTAGTGATCATTTTTTTCGTTGAAAATAAAAAGTCATGAATTCGAATCGTATGACATGCGGGTCGAATCGTATGACATGCGAGTGGAACAAAATAAAAAATAAAAAATAATTATTTTTTTATTATGCAATTAAAATTAAAAAAAAATTATTATGGTACTGGATAACGTCTTTTCGGTCTTACTCAGTATATGATATTAGGACCCACTGTTAGGTTGTTTATATAGTTGTCTGTACTTGGCCATCTTCTAATGCATTAAAGACTAATCATTTTTTATTTTTGTTTTTTACTTTTAGATTACACAATAAAAAGTTTACTTTTCATTCTTTAATTTATCCCCAAAAAAAAAAAAAACAATATATCATACTATTTAAATATAATAATTTTTTTTTACTAAAAAAAATCACTACAAGATTGCTTGGCTTATTGGCAAAATGCAAATTGATACATTCTTTTTTTCGCAAAACATATGATTGTTACTAGAACTAGAAATCTACTAGTAATTATATGAAGTACTAAAACTAGAAATCTACTAATAATTATCCCGTCATGATTTGAAGTGGGTGTGGTTTGTAGTCACTTACCATTTTATAAAAATCACTCAATTCTATTTAATTTTATTGTTAAAAATAATTAATAAATGATAAAATAATTGATATTTATAATTTAATAAATTAAAATTAATTTATAAATTAATATTTTTAAACATCATAACCAACTGTTTATAATAATTATTACAAATAGATAAAATATCAATCAAATTAAATAAATTTTAAGTTATCTTAACAAAATAATAAATACCAACGAGGGTTAGATCAAGTGGCAAGCGGCTTGTTCCAGCTTAAGCAAGATCTCGAGTTCGAAACCTTGTGTATGCAGCAGCTTTCGTTGGGAGACCCACCCGCCATTCTAGTGCGCCACAGCTGGTCGAGTCCGGAGTAGTAGAGGCGAAACCTCGGATACCGGACGAGAAACCAAAAAAAAAAATAATAATAATAAATAATTATAACTATAACCATTTGAAGTTAGCAATTACTAATAGTTTGGACTAATCAAACAAAATATTTAACTTATAAATAATAATTATCGATCATCATATATTTTTTATTTAGTATCTATTACATTTGAATAGTTTTGATCCAAACATAAGTCTCTATCTTTACAAGTTTATTTGGATAACTGTTTGACTTTCTAACCCCATAATCTATCCTTTTCTCACTGAAAAATTTTTAGGAGTTTAAGATCAAATTGCTTCAAGTTTGTGAACATATTTCTTTTAATTGACCAACTTGAAATTTCTCCACATGACATATATGGAACTCCCAAGCTCGGAATAAAAAAAACTTCCACCTCAATTACATAAAAAAAATAAAAGTAAATAAAGAAATGCACATTATGAAGTTTCCTGAAGTTTCCACGATGCTTCCAAAAGGGCAAGAAATTTGACATATTGACTTGCAGATTTCAACTGTCATTAAAAAAAAAAAAAAAATCACAAAGAACTCCTGTTTTGACAAAGTAAATGCCCATTGAAAAAGTTGATTATGTGAGGCATGACTTCATCTCCTCCCCACCCTACTTGCATTCCCATTCAAACTCTTAACTTTTCTTCTTTTTTTTGTTAAACACTTTTCGGCTGCCACGGGCACTCATATTTAGTGACGCAACCGCTGCCGTGACTCTGACCGCACAAACCATCCTTACGTGCCGTCTCCTTTCACACCATCCAAATATTCTATTCACCTAAACTAGCTCCTTGTTAATTTGAAATTGAATTTGCCTTTCTTAGCTTGAGTATAATCTAGAAAAATGAATGAGCAGTTCCGTAAGTGTACAAGAACATCCTTGTTTTAACCCTTATCCAAACCACAAAAAATAATTATACCCAAAAATTAGGATTCATTGCACCACTGTTTTCTTTTGTTATACGGTTTTCGAGATTGATACTCAAATGTCATTTTCTTGAGGATTACATGCTGGACCACGATTGAATTTGTATGGTAAATTTTATTGATCTTCCTCTATTGATTGTTCTTGGGATTCTAATGTAAAAATGAGTTAGCAGTTTTGTAGTATATTATTTTATTAATCCTTATGCCTGGTATGGTGGTTAACACTCTTGATTAAGCAAGAACAGAATAAGAGGTGGGAGATGATTGTCTTTTATTGTACAATTAAAAAAAAAAATAAGAACCACTTCTTATAAGTTACATTTTTTAATTTTACGAATCTCATTCTCTTTTTTTAAAATTATTTTGTTTAAAAAAAAGAAAAAAATAAAATGTTTTATAATTTTTAATAAAAAAGAATTGCTTTAATAATAAAAAAATTTATCTTTTATTAATAGTAAGAAAGACGTGAACTCCACACATGTAGGAGATTACAAAAATCATTTATTAATTGTACAATGCAGATTACAAATCATTTACTATTTAAAAATTTAGGAGAAATTAATTATTTACAGATTTGTAGGGAAGCAAACCAATAAGACCAGATGAACTTGTTGATCCAACTGGGATAAGGCTAGCTAATCATTAGTTTCATGTGAACAAGCTAATTAAACTTTCTGAACTCCATGTG